GCTAAAAATGTTGTCTGTTTATTCCCATATTCTAGTTTCAGAACTAACAATACCCAAAAAAGGTTAAGTGTCCTCTCACCTCTCCCCATGTTGATTTTGCTTTTTCCTCTCCAATATGTCCCATGAGCACAAATAAACTTGGGCAATTAACTAGTAAACCTAATCTCTTGGATTGATACTGATAATTTGCTACCTAACTCTTGAGGTAGTTAAAATTCTACATTATATATTTATAATAACTAATCAATATAAACTTTTTCAATCGATTGCATCAATCCTAGCTAACATTTTTTCAGTATACAATTCTGTCTAACTCTAAATTTGTAATTTTTGTTGTTGATGGAATAAGCAATTAATTAAAATATTTGAACTTATTAGTCACATGGAAAAGTTACGATATATCTAAGGATGAGTTAGGCCGTTATAGGGGTCATTTGATAATGCTAGAAGTCGAGCGGAATAAGGAATATATATATAGAGAGAACAAAGCATCAAAGAGGATTGGAATGTGAATACACGTATACATACATATGAAAAAAAAATAAAAGACTGAAGAGACCAAACATAAACATAGACAAGTGCTTTTGTAAGATGACATTACTTCTTATTCTTTAGGTATAGATTCCATTATTCCACAATTCAAAACCGGATCATAAATTTAGTTCACTTGGTGTATAGTTCCCTCCTCGCTTGCTTCAAACTAACCAAAACTCAGACGATTTCGTATACAATTGTATTAGTTTTGATAACCAAAAAAAGAAATATAATAAAAATTTTCAGCATATATTTATTAAAGAATATATTCGTTGTCATACCACAGAAGTTACAATAACTTCTAATATTAACATGATTAAACCTTATTAAAATTAATTAAAAGGATTCTCATTAAATTTCTAATAATATACACTGTGTCTTTTTTGTCAACAATAGTACCCTATGTATCTATTAACTTTTTTATTAACAATATACATCACGTGGATTTAAATTTAGATAGAAACACGAATAATCCAGATATATCAATAAAGCTTGACATCACAAACATAAATCATTATGCCACATTAACTGGTCATGTTTACTAATCTATATGGTTCGAATTAAAGTTGAAGGTCTATGATATACTGAGCTATAGACCGAAAGGTATGACCTTCACAATTGGGGATAAAAGACTACTAAGTACCATATATGGCACATATATGTCGGACATAATGCTATAAAAATCAGACGTTTTAAATTTTTTTTTGTTTTTGTCACTAATGCTATTAAAATCGGACATAATGCTATTAAAATATTCTTTTTGTGACCAAACAAAAAAAAATTCTTTAAAAAAATATTTTTTATATTTTGATGCAACTT